ATCCTTTGTTCCCTTAACTTTACCTTGCCTTCCCCAACAATCAAGTCAATCGAATCTCTGCACCTCGGGATCGTCTGCTCATGCTTACCCATCAAAGGAATTCTATTCATACACTTAGCACTACTTCTTTTTCTCATCATTTTCAATCTATGCTGCTCTGGTAGCATATCATCAATATGCATAGCATCATGAGAAGAACCATATTTAACATGAAATGTTTCATTCCTTACATATTTCCGATAAGAAACAGATCCCTTCTTAGAATACAATTTGTCACCATGATCCCTGACAGTTAACTGATCCTCTGTCCAGTGCAGCACTTCAGATCGCCAGTTAGATCTTCTCCACCTTAAATGATCATTAGGATAAATGATATCATCAATTTCATCAGTATTATGACTATCAAACCAGTTATTCTCTTTGGCTTCAGCAGAGTATATTTTGCTCGCATGTCTCCAATATCTTTCATCAGTTGCTCTTGAGTAAGAAACATCATTTCTTGGTGATAGGGAGTCATTCCACCTTTCTTCATCAGCTGTGTAAGACTGATGGGACAAATATCGATTTTCTCCGTGTCTGCAATATTGATCTTTAGTTTTCCCAGAGCATGAATCATCCCAATACAAAACGGGACTGTCAACATGTCCACCCCTTCCCCTAGAGTTTTTTAATTCTCTCCTGCCCTGTGGAAATTTCCTTTTTCGGTCAGTGAATGAAACGCATCTCCCAAATTTTTCTCCCACAAAGTCATCTTCACATTTATAATTAAAACCACCACTAGGGTTTGGTATTTTCTTAAACTGCAGTTTGCTGCTATTCCTTCTACATGGAGCATCCCTTTCTTCAGCAGTGTGGGAGGAATACCTAGAATGCAACCCCCTGGACTCCCTGTTGGTGAGAGGACTCCTCTCTTTAGTGAATTGTGTTCTTCCAAAATGATGCCAATCTGCATCCCGCTCTTCACAAGAATACTCCCTTTCATTCCAGGTTTTTCTGACATATGGATCTAGCATGTCTTGGAACTTCTGACTACCTTTTCTATTCCAATAATTTGTATTAGCTGTCTGAACATGGTTATCAGTATATCTAATACCATAATGGCTTGATTCTTTATAATCTGAAATATCTTCTCTGTGACTACAGCTGAAATCTTGCAGCCTTTTTTTCTGTCTGCGAGAATTCACATAGTGATCCCTGTCATACAGGTCATCTGTTTCCGAGGTGGGGGATGCATCATGATCATCTTTTCTGTGAACATTTGGTTCAACAACACTGCCAAGCCTCGTACCCTGATGCTTGCGCTTCTTTGGAGCAGGACTTCCACGTGCAGGATAATCTTTGACATCAACTACTTTTCTCTTGATGACTATGCTTTTTGAGTTCTTACAAGATGATCTGACAGATTTGCAATGTTCAATGTGTGGATTCACTGTTGACCTTACAGGAGTATGGATATCTTCTGGATCAAAATGATCATTATTATTGGATGCTTCAGAATCACTTACAAAACAGGATGAAGTGGGGCTAAGTTGATCATCATCACCAAGTGATAATTGTGCTTCCATCATGCTTTGATCAGCATAGACAGCATTCCTGCCAACACTTTCTGTTGTTTGATTTGCAATTTCAATGGTTTCCAATGAGATAGCATTCACTTGCTTATGATCATACCCGTCCTGATCAAAGGCCTGTTTATTTGTGTGATTATCAGAATCTATTGCCATGGGACTGATCTGCTGGGAACACCTGATGATATCAAGGAAAGATATATGCATTACATGTGGCATAAGAAATTGTATAATAACTGGAATATTTAGGGCCCTACATCAAACAAGAATACAGACCTGTCTAATCTTCTTGAGTTTCCTTTGAGACTTCCTACAGATAAATCGTCTTCTTTGGCAATATTAGAAGAGGGAATAATAAATTCCCCATTTGCAGATGCCTCATGTACAGTGCCATTTGTACAGCCCTGTCCCTCACCAGAATCAGAGGTTTCCTCAGTGGGGCCCTGCACAGTAATCTACCCAATCATGTGACACTGATTAGTAATAGCATAATATAAGGTAGATGCAAAAAATCCATAAGACAATTCAAAGTGACAACACACCTGTATCACAACATCAGAATCTAAACTACGTGGATGCCTACTATCAAAAGATGGTTGGCGTTCAATAATACTATCTTCAATCTGAATTGCTCTGCCTTTCGGCTGAAACATCAAAAGCCAACAAGTTATAATTATCTCAAACTAGTTTCTGAATACAACAATCACAGAATAGTAATAAATTCTGACATACTACTTCCAACTGTCTCACTCTGGAATCAAAAAATCTTGATAGAGGACCATGTTTCCTTGGGCCAGCATGATTCATATCTTTAGAAATAGTTTCCTGAGCAAATTTATCATACTCAGATCCAGCTTCTTTAGCCTAGTAAGCAAGAAACGGGTGGACATGTAAACACCAAAAATTTGAACAACGGTTGTGGTGATATATTAAGAGTCCCAAAAGATTTAAATAAATAACCTGATAGAGTTTTGAGGAGTCTGGGACAGGGATCCCAAACTGCATGGATGTCAGCCGAAGTTGTTCCTGCAACGCATTAATTATTAGGATTGTATTTACAAATTGCTTTGTCAAAGAAAACCATTGAGAACCAGTTTGGTCATAAGGCCAGACCATTTAAACCTGACATAACATCCAAATGGGATCTAGAAGACAAGCCTAGAGAAATTTTTTTATAAATTTGTTTTCAATGATAAGTATGGCACCATTTCATTTACCAGGGAGTTGCAGTACTGTTTCCAACTGTCCTCATTCAAACCAAAGTTGAAGTAATCTGTTAAATCAACTCCAGGATACCTCCATGGCTTCTCCTCAAATGATTCAACATTTACATCAAGTATGGTCCTGGAAGAAAGAAAATAAGGATGCTTTGTGTCAAACTTTGGACAGTACTACTCTAAAATCATTTTTTGGAGAAAAATATAAATTCTAGAATTCTCTACAGAGCCAGAGTTCTTCTCAATTCTTTTGTTGTCTTTTTTGGTATTCGAATTCATGAAACTTGACATATTGACAGGTTAACCATTAAAGAAATTGGGTTTGTGAAGATTTAATTTTGTTTGAAATTTACTAACCTATACCAAGGAAGTCTGAAACCATATCTATTTTGAGTCAGCACTGGATGGGGTGTATCACGAACACAAGCAATGTGAGAGCTTGACCCCTTACGTTGATTGCGCACATTATTATTATCATGGTCTCCTATAACCAACATGGAAGACACCAAGCCCACAGCCTCATTGGCTTTTCCATTGCTTGGACAAGTAGATCCTTGAGTCCTTACATACTGCACAAATCAGCAAGCATCTCTCAGTTAGAAAAGTAGTAGGCAACAAGACAGCAGCTAAAGAAACATAACATTTCGTATCGAAAAATATCAGTGTTGGAGTTGAAATACTTAAACACGTAGAAAATCAAACATAGTATTCATCATCTATCCATATTCAGTTCTGTAACCGGAAACATTCCGATTATATATTTATTTTACAGGGCACTTTCATCTTTCTCCTGAATACTTAAGTTTCTATAACTAACCAGTGAATGAAAATTACTGGTTTCAAATTAGTTCAGAAAATTTAAAAATTAAATTTGTCTGGCACAATTAGAATACCTTGTACTCTTTTGTAGCCACAAAACCATCCTCATCCTCATCCTCATCATTCTTCATGCTCCCTCGGCCTTCAACTGGAAACATTTGACCCTCACAGTCCTCATCATTCAAAACTATTTTCAAGTCATCCTCACTGTCACTTCCACTGTAGTCTTCATTCGCCTCCAAACCCGAAACTTTCTCACCCAACTCCTCGGAGACAGAATCGGGTTTCTTAGAATCAGAGACAGATTGCTCCTCAGAACCAGGCCTAGCGTTCTTCACCTTGTGGTCATCATCATCATCGTTTATATCTTCTTCTGGCTCTGTATAAAGGTGAGCAAAGTTCGGAACGCCATTGATGGCTGAGTTGGCCTGCGGTTCAACACCAGCATATAGCTCCCCGAAATCATCGTCGAAATCTTCCATTGCCTATAAACTCTGGAAGTTAAGAGGGGAAATTCTCCTAGGGTTTTGCTTGCTAGTGATAGGGAACCTCCATTGGTAACGAAATGATAAGGAGCTTTGGATGGCTCCGATGTATAAAAGTCTCGAGCTTTTGTTTTTGGTCTGGAAAAGTCTCGAGCTTGAAATGCTAAAAATGTGTCAAAAACCCCTCAAAAACCCTGAACCCCTTTTGACCAAAAAAAAAACATAGAAAAACCCTGAACCCCTAAAACCCTAGCACACAGCCACTTATTATTTGTTTTATTTATTGCATTATTTTCCTCGCTGGACTCCCTAAATTTTGTCCCGCCAAAAATAACCAAAAAACTCAAACCACTTTCTCTGACTTCCCTCTCCCCACTCCCGCCACCGCCATGTGCTCTCGCCCATCTGCCTTCAACGCTGTCATGTCCGGCACTCGAGTCGCCATCAAGAAGCACAAAAACCCTACACCCTAAACCCAAGGAAACTCCCAATTGCTATCCAAATCCCAATTATTCCAATTATGCTGAGGACGGTAGTAAGCCTGATGATTTGGTAGCTGTGGTTCGTCTGTTGGCCAATAGGATTGCGCCGGCTCATAGGGCTTGGAGATTGGGATTGCAGATAAATCAATTACTAAGAAGCAAAACAAGGAACTTGGAGACTTGGCTTTTCAAATTCATCTCAATTCAGGACTGGCAACTTGGCAAGCCTGCTCCTTTTTAACTGTTGCCAAGGTTTTCAGTACATTTCATCTCATCATTGTTATGGAGTCCGAGGAGAGGAGTGTCCTTATGACCTTTCTGTGGATGATTGGGGGTTTTTTTATTTTTTTTATTTTTTTTCTTCAAATGCTGCTGTTGATTGGAGTTGTGATCAAAACATTGAATAATAGGATTTAAATTTGTAGATCTCTACTGGATTTGTTTTGTTCGAATGAAATATGAATTTCTACTGTATCTAGACTGATAATCATATATTTTACCCTTTTTTTTCACACAAATAATAATTTGAGCTGCCTACTGAGTATTACATTTGCAAGCCATCATTGTTCACTCTTCAATGCTCCAGTTATCTCCCATGAGATCCCTTCAGTCTCTAGCATACGAAGAGCATCATTGGGTCCACAGCCCTGCTGCTTACAATTAACAATTGCAACCATGAATCTCTGTTTCTCTAATGAAGTAGGATACATAGCTTGATCATCCTGGAATACAAATCAAAAGTTAAACTAAAAAGGACATGAAATATGCAAACAAGTAGAAGCATCTTCTCAGCAAAATACCGTTGCAGATCTAAAAAATTAAGCAACACAAACGGAGATCCTCATAATTAGATTGTAATTTGGCTTATGATAACGTTTAAATTGTACATGCATTCATTTTGACCTACTTCCATGTAGCTAGAAAAATCAATTGATTTCAAACATTACCTCAGGCAGTTCAAAGAATTCATCAGGAGATATTTGCAGCAACTCTGTAGCAGTATGACCAGTACACCATGCAGAAACTTCCCCACTCTCGTCTGCAAGAGTAATTTTCAGGTAGAAAGTATGGATAACTTCAGCACCACAACTGGTGTTACAGAAGCTGCATTCCAGAACATCATTGGGCTGCTCGGTAACAAAATGGCCGCATATGGCATGCGAAATTTTTTTACTGACATGAACCATCTTCATTTTCAGCCAAACCTGAACTATCTGTCCACATGATAGTATATAATTATAGAAGAACAGATATCCCAACTTACAGGCTATAAAATGCAAGACATATCCAGTGTAGTAGATAATTGATATAAAAGCACAACACCTATTGCAAGGAATAGAAAACGTGGCTCCTTCATGCCCTCCCCCACACTTTCCACCAAAAGGAATGCGAAAGAGAGTTTTACCACAATACACATCGTGACTGACAAACTTGCAGACAAGGAAGACACGGTAATTCTGTGCCATAAAGTTGCAGCACTATAATTCCTTTTCATTTCAGGATTATTGTTTTACTAGGTATGTGTGAGTGATTGAGTGCGTGTAAGCTGTCAGGAGCACACACAAAATCAGGCCTACTATTCTTCCTCAATTCTAAATAATATTTTGGAAACAGGGTTATGATAAAGTGGCAAACGTTTGCACATCCAGAGAGAAGCGGAACATGATAACTTCTTTCTTTTTTTCCCTTTTGCAAGTGAACATATTAGTTTTACAGCATAAAAAGCAGAAGTATAGATAAAGGAATCATGGCAGAAACAGACAAATGATTTTATCATGATAACTAGTCACAACAAAAATCTATTGGAAACCCACACCTGCATACAGCTAGTCTGGCTAGATAGATCAGAGAGGCTTGACAATTTATGAAGACAAGATGAGTTTAGCAACGCTGGCAAGGAACTGAGGTTGAAGAAAGAAGCTCCAGCAGTATTCTCGAACCATAATGCTTCCAGGCTGTCAAGCAAAAAATGTTTTCGTGGAACCCTTATAAATTCCAAATCAGACTACAAACCACATAACTAGGAACAAACCAGAAAGTGTCTCTCAACTATAACTGAAAATGACTGGTCGAGAACATTGGAACTTGCTTTAACCACCCACATATTGACATTAGAAAATGACTAATTGAAAATGCTTGAATAAGCTCACCCCTTCCGCTTCGTCATAATGCATGTCAGGCCTGATATGTACACTGTGTGACCAATGCTTAATCTTCTTAATGACCTAGGAAATACACATTTTAAAGCAAAATTATATTATTAAAAATGTGAAATTTATAGTCGGGGAATGGGTCATAAAACCAATTGTACCAAATTAACTTATTATCCTTACCAACACTTCACAAAATGTAACTTTGCCCAAATTGCTCCAGTGGTATCTTCAACTCTCAAGGAGAAGATAGCTTCTGTGGTACTTCTTTCTCTGGTAATATTGGTAACAACACCGTAAAGGCTGACACCAGTCATCTTGTCATGAAGGTCAGTCACGAATGACTGCAAACTTCACAGGAGTAAGAGATATTAATAAAAACAACGATATGCAAATGCTAACAGGAGACTCGGGTATGAATCATTCAGGCAGTTGATTTCACACAAACTTGGATGATTGCATAGCAAGTAGATAAGAATGGAATAAGTTTTTAAATAACTGCATAAAGGCATTAGTGCATGATTGCTGAAGAATGACAATAACCTACTACATAATATGACTAGGACAGATGTTCATGGAATCAGTGCATAAGTTGATTCTGTGGTGCTCAAAGCTTCAAAATTCTATCAATAAACCATATTCAAGAAATTAATGATAATGCATCCCTTGAGAATCATGGTACTCATAGCTTCTAACACAAATTAAATTATAGACATTGCTAAATAGTGTTCACACAATAAGGAAGTGTAATGGAAGGAAACTCACTTGAAAAGGATAACTACTGAAGTCAATGGACCCATGTGAATCACAGGGCAAGGAAACTTGAGAAACTTGTGGAGCCTGACTGGGATCTATTGTGCTCTGCAGTCTTGACCCTTGATACCGATTTGGTGTCAGTGCTACAGATACCTGATTTATACAGAAAATTAACTCCATATCTTAAATGATAACCCAATTATCCAAACTGTGATATATGACTTACTTGCTCCTCATGTTGAATCAGAGGCACCAAAAACAATTGCGTTGTACTACCAAATTCAAGGCAAACTTCATTACTCGTTTCAATACCTCTGTCTACGGAACTAGCAATATATGGTCTATCCAGTGCAAGCATACTTCCCATGCTGAAGAAATTGAATTATGAACATTCAATGGAAGAAAGTATCTAAAATATGAAAAATGGTTCTAGAGTTTACCTCAAAAGATTGGCCAAGACAACCTGATCACCCCACAGCAGAAATTGTAGCTTCACACCATCATTGTCAACAAGAGTAATTTGTTTACTCTGTAAAGTACCATGTACTTCCAGTGGCCCAATAATTTCAATTCTACACATAAAGAGGGAAAGCAAGGTAACCACTTCAACCCCAGGGAAAATTCAACCTCACTAATCAGCATTATTCCAGTTATGAACTTCTAATTTCAAGACAGGTCCATATGATATATCATGTTTATAGGATCTCAGTTGATTATCACATCCCCACCTCATTAGGACATCTGAAAATAATTAATATTTATAAAATATCTCGCATACTTAAAATTGGTTATTAGAAACAATTTATCTTACCTTGCGTACAACGAATAACAAACATCTTTATAAGTGGCATCAGGAGAAATTGAACAGAATGGATCTGAACAAAACTTAGTTCCTATCAGCATTAAATCACCATCTTCAGCCTATATTAATGAAAGCAAAAAAGACAAGTAAGAAGAAAAGTAAAAAGACACAGCCCAAATCCTTTTCCTAATCTCAAGGCTGGGCAGCAGTCAAATCTGAAAATTACCTCATCTAACAATATGGTCAGATATTCTGTTGGCAACAGCCGCATATAAGCGGATCCTCCTTTAGTTGCAGGACGAAGATAGCACCCAGTGAGAAAGATCTCCCTCCCTTTCTTGAGAAGTCCATTACGAGTCAAGTCACAGTATCTGCACAGACAAAATCTCATGCTATTGGTTTCACCAGAAACTTAAATGTAGTTGTAAATACACATAAAAGCAACACACACCAAGAACAACATATACCTTTGGTGGAGATAAATGTCAATAGTATTGGAGCTCCAATAATCTCCTAAGGAAAGCATAGAGATGTTGGTACCTGAGAAAAGAGAAGCAATTAATATCACCGATAAAGAAAATAACAATTACGTTAAAGCTCCAAAATTTCAAAATGAAAGTCTACCTGGGAGAACAAAAGCTTCCACAATTACGGCTTCCAAAACACTATTCAAGGACAAGAAATTCTTTTCATAAATGGAGTCGATGGTCACGGTGTTCGGAAGCTTCCTTCTCTTGTACTTCTTTCTCGACTGCTTCACACATTCCGGCATTTTCTTTGGAGGCCTGTCCCTATGTTGCTCACTCCACGCCTAGCAAAAACCAACACAATTCAAATCAGGTTCCTTTCTTTTATTTTCTCACATTTTCTCAGCAACCAAACAGAGACGAATTCGATTAAAAACGGTACCTGAGATATATCAGAGAGTAGAATCGCGGCAGTGACGCCGCTGGAGTAGGCGCTACAAGTCTTGAGAATCCGAGAGGCTATCCAGTTCCAGCTGGGTCCAATACTGGTTTCCGGCCCCTTTTCATTCGGATCCAAATTTTCGTCTGGTTCAGGCGAGAGAGCGGACCTCGCGTAATCAATGAATTTGAGAAACGGATCTTCTTGATTTTTTGGCTGATCAATGTCCATGACCGAGTCGAGCGAGTTCATTTCCACCGAGTTCACAAGCCCTACCAATCTGCACTGTGTAATAATATAATACACATTTTGGGATTTTAAGGGGGAGGGAAGAGAACTCGTACAGCTTTTTGGCGCGGGTTTTGAAAATTGCGGCACCGGTGCTGGACTGGGCCGAATACTTAATGATTAGTATGTGCCTGGCAATGCAGCAAGAATTCTATAATGAGGGCCATTTGTGAGGTCATATCTTTTAACTGTTCGATCAAATTGGTTAATCGTTGGATCAAAGTGGTTAGCTTAATCCAACGATTAAGAAATAAAATCTCGCCTAAGGGCCGTATATAAGGCCCTCACTATAGAATGACTCGACAACGTAATCCTTAATCTTTTGGTCCACATATCAATTTAATCCCTCTTGTCGCATTTAGTTAAAGATCTTTGTTAAAATTGATAATGTGGAGTAATGTGATAGCACGTGGCCAACTTTAAAGGTATGTTTGTGTCACAATACAACTTATCCACCCATGAGACAGTACAATTCTCTATTTTTGCTTAACAAGACTAACCCTAAAATGGAGAGCAGATGACTTCGTTGAGCAATAACATGAGGTTTTATAACTAAAATAAGCTATATTTTGATGAAAATTATCGTTTAAAATTGGTCACGTAATGACACTTCATTAATAGTGAAAATTTTGTCAGACTGGGACAGTAAAACCAAATTGATGCGCATACCAAAAGATGAAGGACCTCATGAGTCATGAATTGCTTTGAGATTTGAAAGACTAAAATGAAGACTTCTAAAAAGTTCAAGGACCAATTGTGATTAAAAAAAAACAAACAAACAAACAAACCCTTCTTTTACGGTTTACCCCGATAGATGCATAAACAAAGTTGATCACCAAATCCAATTACATGAGAGCAATTTCAACCAAGAGTTTTAGGCCAGCACGTGGATGACATAAAATAAAAGGGGCAAAGCAAGAAGCTGGGCAATCGTTTGGAAGTACAACCCATTCAGGCATCTAACAAGGTGAAATATCAACTCAGTTACCAAACTGTGCAAATCGAAACCTTAACCTCCATGACTCCGTGATGGCGACAACAATCCACGACATTGTCTAAGAATAATTTTAAGGTGGAAATGCCATAAGAAGAACAAAATGAATCATATCAAATAATCATAACACAATGATTGCGACAACAAAAGTCCATATCAAATTAGCTTCATTGTCATATTTTGTCCACCCCAGATGTGGAACCTACACCTAAAATGAGTATCAAAACTCCCCCCTCCCCCACTAAATCACAAACCAAATCAAGAGAGTAGAAGAAGAGAAAATTGGACGGGGAACATCAGAAACCTAAGATGTACTGTTGTACATTGCAAGGGTAGTCCGGCAAGAAAATACTCAAACCAGCAACTATACTATGCAGGAATACTTCACATTATATTGTATTGAATTGCCCTTAAATCTCACGTTTCAGAATCACGCCGGTGATCCCTACAGAAGATTTAGGCCGATAATGTTCATCTGTATCGACCTCTTCGATTTCCTGAATGGAAGATCATATGCAAAGAATTATATATTAGATATTATCCAAGTCTAGGCATGACAAAATATTACTCAAGATGCAAAAATATATATACCTGCACCACATCCTCTCCCTTAATGACCCGTCCAAACACAATCAGCTTATCATTTAAATCTGGTATTGGTGCAGTTGTGATAACAAGCTCAAATCCCTTGTCATCTGGTCTATTCTTCGTAGTTCCAAGCATAAAAGCTTCATGCTTTGGTCTTCATGTTTCTCACAGGTAAGAATAAAGCTATCAGTTTTGTGACAATGGATGAAATACCAACCAATTCAATTTTTTTTTAAAAACAAACCTCGTAACTAGTTGACTACGGAGCTTCCCTTTTGATATCCAATCTTCAGCTGCTCCAAGTCCTTGGGAACCTCCCCCTTTAATAACATAGTGTTTGATCACATGACTGAAGGGCATCCCCTTAAAGTGCCCCTTTTGACTGCAAAACTAATGCCTTAGAAGTGTCTTGAGAGCATAACACAATATTACCAAACACACAAACCAAGCACGTCTATTTGTAGATGTTACTGCTAGTCAGTATATTGGGATGCTTTCCAATTGTTAAAGTTCGTATTTTATTTGCAATTACTGCACTAATCAAGCCTACATTTAGGACCTAAATGTTGTCAAGATATCTAGAACACAGAACCCTTTAACTTGTTGGTGAACCCCTTCACAAAGGAGCTACAACAAAATATATGACAATGGCTTATAAAAATATAAGAATATCTAAATGATTAAAACATGGGATAGAGAACTTTTATTAATAGGAAATTCAAGAAGAACCCAAATTAATGGGAAACTTATTGTTGGTTTGACTATTGGTAATTTGGTAACAGCTATGCACTAAGATCCGCCCCATCCCCTAATTTTAACTTTATTCTCTCAATCTTTAGGGAAAAGGACTCAAATAGAGAGGGAGAGATATATGATTTTCGATAACTAGAGCATGTATGCATGTAAGATTTATATGCACTGTTGAATACTCACCACAAGTCAAGAAATCTATCCACAACCTCTGGAGAACCATCCTTGAAAAGTTCCACTGTGATAGGACCTTTTGACGTATTTAGAATCTATATAAAAAAAACACAGGGGAGGGGAGAAGAAAGAGAGTGAATAACTAACAATATAGAGAAGCAGATAGGAGTGTTCGGTGTTACATCGAATTAAACCACTAAACATAAACATCACCAGAAAAATAGGAATAAAATGTCTCCAAACGAAACCAGTGCAGCAATCCTTATGCATTAAATTTTCCCAAAAATGAACCTTCTGTAAAACGAAAATTCATTCTCAAAACTGGCGTGCAAATTAAGTGACTTCTTGCACAGTAGTAATAGTTGCTCGATTATTTGTGTATTCCAAATATAACAAGATAAAATCTAAAACACAAAGCAAAACACTGCTAATGTGCTCATTTAGAGCCATAAACTGATCGATAAACATTGACGTCATAACTAATTTAACCACACCACCACAACCAAAAGCACACCCTCTTAGTTCTAGCAGTCGCAGTTGCAGTTCACATTAACACAAAAAAGCAAGTTGGAAAAAAAAGACACTTACAGCATAACCGGGAAGATCGTACTTCTTTACAAACCCACCAATATCCTAGACAATAAAAATTAATAAATTTAGTCAAATATGCATTTACTCATAATTACTGCAAAACAGGAAGATTAATAATTACACAAATGAAAATGAAAGGAAAAAAAAAACTCATTTCAAATAAATACCTCTAGAGTAGATAAGTCCGACCCAGATTGGTCCGGCGACCTACGAGCAAATTAGCGCACAACAAAATAAGAGGCTGAAATTATCCAAATTAGCACTACAATTCAAATTTTCCAGAGAAAGAAAATCACGAAGGATATGAAAACTACCACAGACAGAAAATAGAAATGCTACCTTCTAGACCAATAGCGATAAGTGGCAACTAAGGACAAGGCGATCAAAGCGATGATTAAATTGCACATAACTATGGTAGTGATACTGATTCGAGTTGGGCCCTTCTTCTTTTTGCTCTGAATTAACAGCGCCTGAGGCTTTATCCGAGCCATGAGCTTCGACTTCAACTGTAACCACGAAATTCAAAAGAATAAATAAAATTGGATGATGCGCCCCGATCCCCAAAATAATTGGAAGCGAAACCCTAGAAAAAGAAATGAAATTGGTGAGGTTACCTTCGGGCTTTGGGCTGTGAATCTGCTGTGATTCAAGATCGCAGGAGTGGTTTTGGTTTTTGGTTTCAGTGACGTTGAGAAGTTGAATCAGAGAGAGTACGGTTGGTGGGTGATTTCAGTTTACGCCAATCTGGTCGATCTTCTTCTCGGTTGGATTGGATTTGGACCCATTTTTCAATTTTTCGAATGTTTAATTTTAAAACTGGTGGGGGGTGGAGCCCACGTGAGATTATTCGCCGGAGAGCAGAGCTCCAGCTCTTCCCATATCACGTGATGGACGGTCGTGATTGGATTAGCGTGTAGATTTTTGGGAGCTTGGCGTTCGGTTTCTGGCCCCGATCGCGGGTTTTGGCTCCATCCTTTAAACCCGTCAATTTTCCCACCTGCACGGTACATGTCATTTTTCATTTTTCATTTTTAATTAATATTTATCTTTCTTTCTTTTCCTTCCTTATTTTTTTCCTAACCAAAGAAAATGCAAATGAGTCAAGAAACATTACAAGAAGAAGATTGTTAATTTAAGCTCTTGATGTTAGCCTAATTGGTGGTATTAAATTTGCGATAACCAAAGTTAAAGATTGAGATAGGTTAAGAGTTCAATTTCCTCCAATGTAACAAAGAAGAAGAATGTTAACTCAAAATTCGCTTATTATAGGTATTCTTTTTACTTTTTAGATTCGCTTATTCATACTTAAAATGTTGTTTAGCTCGCTTAACGTCAAACCAACTTGGTGTTCCCCATCATGAATTTAATCTTAAGATCATTGTTTTTTTATAAAATTTAAAACAAAGGGTAAATTCACCTCGTACCCTTGTCTTAAATTCCAAATGTTCCACCTTTTTCAGGCACCAAATGAGAGACACTTGAACACTTAATACATTTAGTTCTTAGCATTGTTAGCATCCCTTTGCATATTGCCAACAATCTCACAAATTTGGAACCCTTGCACCTAATTACCTTGGTGGGACGTTTCCTTTCTTTTGCATTGCAATATGCATTGACAATATGTGATCTCTGGCAGTGTGAATACCTCAATTTTCAACACTTCAATATTCAAATACGCATTATTATTATTATTATTATTATTATTCAAATAAATAGAGACTACACCACTGGTCAAAAGGAGAATCAAAGTCTTTCTCCATTTCAACCAACACTTAAAGAAACAAAAGCCATGTTCATAGGCTTCGTACAAGACCAACAAAAAACATAAACAAACTACTTAATCTACCACAAGTCAAAAAACCAACCCAAATGTCACTCTCTCTTATAACATTCACAGACACAGAAGAAAGCAGCAAACTTTTTATACTGATATCAATTTATCTTTCTCATAGAAACCACTGGTGCACAGCAACTCCCAGATCCCTCACCCTTCCATACAAAGCAATACATTCCCAATAAGCCCTTTTG